GAGAGAGAGAGAGAGGGGGGTTTACGCATTCGTCGACGGCTCGTTGACTCCTGGAAATCCCCGCAAGGTCCTTCCGCATTGCGGCGTCTGTCCGTCCGTTGACACGATAGTTACGCCACTGCGCTGTCCGTCGTCGTGCCGTGCTGTCACGCTCTGTGTGATGCGCGCGCGCGCATACCACACACCACACACATATATATATATATATAATATACACACTATGCGCGCGCGCACTCCGGTTCGTATTTACAATCGCGTATATCGGAACCGCCGCCATTCGCGCGCGCGCTCAGCGCCTGCGTACATCTTGTTTACAACTGCGAAGCTCACCGTACACATGACCTTTACAAGATAGACACGATCGTCTGTTCGGCTGGCTAGGCGTGAACCTGCAAGAAAGAGAGAGAAAGAAAGAAAGGAAGATAAAGAAAAAGAGAGGTGTCGCGTGAGTGTGTTGTGTGTCGTGGCGAGAGCCCCATCGCCTTTTGCTGGAATACATCCGGCGGCCACGTACCCGGCGATCACGGGGCACGATTCACGCGCGCGCTTCAACGAGCCGAATTGCGTTACGTTACGTTACGTTACGTTACGTTACAGCGCGCCACGCCGAGCCGTGCCGCGTCACATCGCGTTGTGCTGCCTTGCGTCGCGGCCGTCGAGACTGAGAGTGACGATCGACGGTCACAACAACAATAACAACAACGACGACGTCAGTCAGTCGCGACGGCGACTGCGACGTCGTTCGGTCGGCCGCTCGCTCGCGCGCGATCACGAGCCGCGGTGTTTGTCGTACGCGTGTCCGGGGACCGAGGTGTTCTCTGGTAAGTACGGAACGTGGATTTGCCGTGCGCGCGCGCGCGCGCGCGCGTGTGTGCGCGTGTATGTAAACGACGGAAAATCCGAGGTGATCGAGCAAACGCATACGGGGAGAAGGAAGAACACCTTCCGAATTCTCGTCGAACGCGATCGAACGTCCGCATCGAACGACGGACCGGACGTGATCTTCCCCCTCCCCCTTTCTCTCCGTGTATTTTCGAGCGTGGCGATAGTGCGTTATTAATCGTGTGTTCCCGGGTGTTGTTCCCTCTCCTCTTCTCCTCTCCATAGTGGAGAAAGAGGCACGGTGGCTGAAGAGACACGAGGAGCAGCTGCGGAGTAGAGAAGCGCGAGGAGTGAAAGAGTCGCGACAGACGGAGCGACGGTACGGGAGGAAGGAGGAAGCAAGAAGAGGGAGAGAAAGAGAGGAAAAGGAACCGCGCGGGGCGTTCTCCTCTCCCCTCCTCTCTCCCTCTTCCTCCCCGCATCGACCTGGAATGCCGCCGCCGTCGCCGCCACGGTTGTTTTGACGTCGGCCGCCGCTATTGCGCATGAAAAAAAATCGCGTTGCCCTTGGCAGTAGCCTATTTATCGAGAGGAACGCGCGGTCGCCGTTGCCGCCACGGGCCGTGCCGATAAGGGGCGAATTTCGGCCAGCCGCCCACCTGCGAGCTACCACCGCCACTCGTCTCGGTTGCTGCTCTGTCTGTCTGTCCGTTTGCATGCGTATATACGTCGATTGGTCGTGTTTCCTCGCCGCGTCATAACTCTCGTAACGTTTTTCATGAAAGACAGGACAGGACGGGATGAGATGAGACGAGACGAAACGAAACGAACGAGACGTGCGCTAGCTCGCGACCAGAAAGAGAGAATCCACCTCGCCGGGTGCCACGAGTGCTCCTCCCACCCTTCTATAACTATCGTCCCCCTTTCACCCTTCTCCGTCTCATTCTATGCGTCGTGTGCATGCCGCGCGCGCTATTGCCCGCCGCGTATTGCGCGCTCTCCGTCTGTCTGTCTGGCTGACTGGTTAGCTGGCTGGCTGGCTGGCTGGCTGGCTGGCTGGCTGGCTAGCTGGCTGGCTAGCTGACCGAGCGACCGACCGACCAACCAACCGACCGACCGACCGCGACCGTCCGATCCGCTCGTACGTCTATCTCTGTTCCTTTGCGCGTGCGTGCGTCGCGCACACGCGCGCGCGCGCGCGCGCGCACACACACACACACACACACACACGTGCGCGCGCGTCCGCCCATCTGTCTGTCCTACCGTACTGCGTGCGCGTGTGTACGTACTGTGTCTGCTTGCGTTCATTCGTGCATGCGTATTGGAGCACGCGCGCGCACCCGTGTGTATACATGTCACATCGTCGTGGACCACGCAGTAAATTGTGTTATTCGGAGAGACAAACAGGTGCAGAAGGGCCTCGTACGCCCGCTCGTAACGACCGCACCTCGTGGCGTTCGCGCTGACGGTCGTCGTGTGCCTCGCCGACGTCGTCATTCATTTTCATCTCCATCACCGTCACCGTCACCATCTTCGTCTTCGTTTCCCCACTGCGCGATCGCGCGAATTACACGCGCGAGGAATGCGTGAGCGACGGTGGCACGTCTAAGCTATCGGAGTCTCAGACGTACGGGCAGACGGACGGACGGACAGACGGACGGCGCGCGGGATAGTTCCTCTCGGCGCGCCCGAGACGAGATCGGTGGCGGGCGAAATTAGACGAAACCGCGTGACAGGTGGATTCGAGGCGTGCCGAGACATAGAGAAAAAGAGCAGGAGAGACAGAAAGAGAAAGAGACGGAAACGGAGCAAAAGAGGAAGCGAAGAAGGGAGAGTGTGAGAAGTGCCGTCGCGACATCTCGGAGTCGTCGGGCGCGTTCGGTGTGATCGCGGGATCTCCCCTACTTGGTTACGACGCCGAAGGAGGAAGAGCAAGGCGGGAGAGACCGAGGGTGATTGTGATATTGTAATCGTTATGTGTCGTCATCATCATCATCATCATCATCATTATCATCATCGTCGTCGTCGTCGTTGTCGTCTTCGTTAACATCATCGTCATCGTCGCCGTCGTCGTCGTCGCCGTCGCCGTCGCCGTTGTCGTCGTCGTCGCCGCCGTCGTCGTCGTCGTCGTC